TTTAGCAGCATACAAAAACCTGTGTTGTATTTTGCTGTGCAGTGTTCCACAGATTGCGGGCAGGGCCTACGCATCAGGAACGTCTTCTGGTGCTCATTTGTGAACGACCAATGGGAGACCACCTCGGACGGCATGTGCAATGCCACCATCAAACTGTCCACCTCGGAGTTTGCGACAACGGACCATGCGTGGGAGCTGTGTGGTGACTGGACCCTGGCATAAGGTACGATGCTGAATCAAGGCAAACAAGTTTTTCAAATCTGTATAAAAATCTCATATAAACTTTTGTTAATGCTCTTTTTGCATATCAAGGATAAGATTTCTCCAGATTTTTACCGGATTGCCAGATTAACCCCCAAAAAAATCCTTATTAAGTGCAGAACTTTTGAGGTCTTACCATGAAGGTTTCTCTATCTTTTATTATTTTGTCGCATCCGTGCAACAAGGTCGTATCCCCTTAAATGGCTGTGTGGCGTCATGTACGTGAAAACGCGAGTTTTCAATGTCAAAAGGTCGTACTCGATTAAAACAACCCAGATGTACACCAAAGTCCATTGACGTCGCGATACGCAAGATGCGACCTTGTTGCACGGAGCGTATTTGCGCGAGATTCGGCTTTGATGCAGAATCGAGTTATGACCTGTTGCACTGACGCGACGATTTGTTTTTGTATGAAACACAGCACAAATCAATGGTTTATATGGGAAAAAAAGGCAATTGTCATTTTTCTTGGGGTATCCTGAGGCAAATACATACACGTAACATAGACCCTAGGTAATGTTCCAGGCTCCGACGGCCCCACACCCTATGCAGAATATGTCGTCGATTTTTCATTTTCCCACATAACCTGTGGTTTTTTTTACTGTTCCACTGGCAAAGGTCCGAGACATAATGACGTCTTGCTTTATTTACAGTGTATATGAAGGCATCTCGTCTACACCTGGCTCAAAGGAAAATGCACATATAAACGGAGCCTGACGTCATTATGTCATTATTAATATTGAGTAGTTACAGCAGCCCATCGTCTCCAACTTTAACGATTCAAGCCATTTTTCTTGTGCTGAAGAGCTTAACTTTAACTTCTCGATTATAATTGATTAGGTTCAGCCAAGTGTGGGGGAGGACAGAGGACACGGCAGATTCCTGTGTTTCAGGGACGGGACTTCATTGGACGGTTCCCAGTGTGATATGACGAGCCAGCCAATCGAGCAAGAGTATTGCAACACACCAGCCCTGCGATGGTGGAGAAGGTTAGCTAAGTTGTTCAATTCCCTGTTCATTAGAATACCGTCTTACTGTCATCGGTACTTGACCATTCAATTAATTTTAGTTAAATATGATACTTCTTTTCATATTTCTGATGCTGGTCTTGATTTAGTGTGGTCAATCTGTATTTGTTGTTTAATTGTAAGTCAAGTTTCAGACTGGAGCCCCAGAATTACACCGAACCAAAAGGCATTAGGAGCAACTCTAATTGGCCCAAACAGCCTCAGTGAGTGAGTTTAAACAGTCACTTGTCTGACAGCCCACATTTAGAAGCTCCAGGTTTGCACACATTCAGAGAAAACAGGTCTTGCATACTCCGTGCCCCAAGCACACAAACTTAATTATGCGCATGCGCTGTGTGCCCTGTGGCCGATATCACGAAAGTTGTCTTATCTTGCGACTCATCTCAGGACTTAAGACGAGTCCCCGCTCTAAGATTGATCTTAGCTAAGATGCGTCCCAAGACCGATTTCACCAAGCCATCTTTAAGCAAGATGCGTCAGAACTTCCAATTTGATGGCTGTTTCATGTTTGTTTTTACCGCTTGATGAAACAGTTGAGGAAAAGAAGCGCGCCAAAACCAACTTCCTGCACCCATGCGTAGAAAACAAAACTGAGAAAAATTACTCTGCTCAATAAATTTCACACAAGATACGATAGAGTCATTCTTGCACTCCGTTTCAATGACTCTATTTAAAAACTAGACTACGTGTTGGCGTATAATTTAATTTTGTAAATAAGCTATTTTTATTAAAACTAACCACGTATATCTTACAAATCTGTTTCAACAGCGGTTTTCTTCCTTGCAACTATATCTCTAACCGGACGCTTGTCTTTAACGGCAATGATTTCAAAGACAGAATACAAATTAACGCACGCATCAATGAGATAACACAACCCCCAGGCCGATCTTCAGTTGAGACAAGTTCATCCCATTGCCAAGGAATTTAGGACGTGTGAATGCCTCTTAAGTTTGGTGAAATCGAAACTAGTTGCAAGTTAAGACGAGTAACCCTCCTAAGACGCGTCTTAGTGTTTTGTGAAATCGGCCCTGGTCATTCGTGGAGTCTATAGGACTGAGGTGCTTGTTTGTATGAAGAGTCTTTTGGTTTGATTGGATTTAGGGGATTGTGAGAGCTCAACCCATGGGTGTTGTCCAGATGGAATCACCGAGGCAACTGGACCCGACCAGGATGGCTGTGTTACCAGGTCAGTTATTGTTCATTCACCATGTACGTTACTGCTCAGATTAAATGCTTCCCCAATACCCTGATCATAGTGTGCTTGTGATAAACAAAAGGTCGGTTTATGGTCAGTCGTGTGATGATGAATGTCCAACTCCGATGGTTGCTGGGGGATAAGCCTTTTGGGAAGTTCATCATCGCACGGCATCTGTAAACATATAATCATCAGCTTTCTGCGATATGAATTAATATTCTTATCCTCATGTAAATTTGAATCCTCGGTAATGATTGGTCGATCCATGGCAACAAGCCGTGCTACATATAACCATGTAGCATGGCCTCGGTCCATACCGCACTCCGCGCTTTTCTAAGATGCGAGCGCCATTCCGTACAACACGCACATGCGATAGGATAACGCTGAAAAGTTTGTGTACAGCATCCGTGTTCCATCTGTACTGTGCGTCAAGTTTGCTTGAAGATAAATTCGTTATCAAGCTTGCGTTCGTGGAACACGGAAAATGTAGTGCATCTGTGTCCCACATTCGGCCTCATGGTATGTGGGACATAGATGCCACTACATTATCCGTGTTCCACTCGCGCTCGCGGGAAAATTATAATATTTCATGAAACAGTGGTTATTTTGCCTTTGCTTTGTAAAACAGTACGAGTGAGTCTCCTACAACTGTACCTTCTTCAACCGCCATCCCTACCTGTGCTGATTCCACCTTTGGTTGCTGTGCGAATAGCACACCGCAGCCTCGGGACCAGATGGACAGGGATGCGAGGGAGAAACGTTGGGGTGAGCATTAATATTCCGTCGGTCGATCCAGATCGGGGGGGGGGGGGGGGGGGAGTGGCACACTGGAGGGCTGAACATTGCAAAAACAAAAACCTCATTGAAGAATCATTGTCCTTTTATGTCAGTGGGTCCCTGGAATACAAAAGGCAATTCCATTGAGAACCAGAAATGTAAACACGTCTCAGGGTTCAAGTTTCAAATCATCATAAACTATTGATTAATCCACGGAATTGTCAAAATTAAATCCCAATTGAATCAAATTTGAATAAACAAATAATCAATTATAGGTACAGTGCTCAGACCATCATGTGTTGAAGTACGGGGGTGACCAAAAAAAACCAACCCTGAAACATTTGATTTTTGCAAAAAACGTGATCTGTGAATTGTTATGTTTTGGATATCAGATTAAGTGAAATGACCAAAAAAGGAGTTGTGTTTCATAATTGGCATTTCTAAGCAACCAATGTGCTATTTTCATGGTTTTTTTTCAGTATTTGAAAGAAAAAAAACTCTCAACTGTAATCTGATATCAAAACATAAAAAATCACAGATCATGTTTTGAAGAAGGGCAAATGTTTATGGGTTGCTCAAGCTATGACTGAGAATACTTTGCGCATGTTTTTGAAATCAGGAGATCCCCCAAATTCCGGACGGCGTAAGGAAACTCTGGACACTGACAGAGAGAAACTAACAATGATCACACAAACAAAATTGAGTACAAGCGCACATCATTTCTTTACCGAGTAGTGACCCCCAGGAATCCTTGTGCTCGTAACATCTGGTTGAATCTCACCTAATTTATAATGTGGATATTGGATTTGTCTGTTGCTGTCTTTTGGCATTGCGGGTTTTATCAATCATGAAAAGGATTTGAAAAGGAGTCCTATTGCAACTCAAACATTTGTTTTGCCTTGTAGAAACCTGTGAAATGGACTTCGATGTGGTACTTGCTTTGCCTTTTGAGCTCAAGTGGTACTTTGACATCTCCTACCAGCGCTGCACTAATTTCTGGTATGGTGGCTGTGAAGGCAAACGCCAATCGCTTTGACACTTTACTAGAATGCCAGTCAGTGTGTGCTATCCAGCAGGAACCATGACGCAAGAAGGTACAGTGGTCAGTTGGACCGTACATATTTCACGAAATGCTAAGACGTGTCTTAGGAAGTGTGACTCGTCTTACTCGCGACTCGTCCTAGGATCAATTTCACCAAAATTAAGATGTGTTCAACATGTCCTAACTTCCTTAGCAACACAGCTGAACTCGTCTTAACTAAACATCAATCTGAGGGTTGTCTTATCTCATTAATGCGTATGTTAATTTGTATATTGTCTGGAAATCATTGCCATTAAAGACCAGTGTTGGCCTAGAGTTATCGTTTCGAGGAAGAAAACCACTGTAGAAAATAGATTGGAAAAAGATTTCTGATACGTGGGGAAATTTAATCAAAGTACAAAAATACCTTATTACAAAATGTATTATATGCCAACACCTAGTCGGATTTTTTAAATACCGGTTAGAGTGATGACATGGGAAGCAAGGAACAAACTCTATCGTACCTTGTGGAGTCCATTCTTGCATGTGATATTTATTGATTGGAGTAATCTTCTGGCTAAAGTTATGTTCTAGTGCACACATGCAGGAAGTTGGTTTGCGCATTCTGTTCAACGACTGTTTCGATCAAGCGGCAAAAACAAACATGAAACAACCATCGAATTGGAAGTTTTTGATGCGTCTTGCTTATTAAGATGGGGTTCAGTGAAATCGGTATTAGGATGCGTCTTTGCTAAGACCAATCTTAGAGCGGGGGGACCCATCTTAAGTCCTGAGATGAGTGGCAAGATGAGACGAGTTCTTGAAATCGGCCTTGCATTGTTTGACAAAACCAAAAATCCTTGTATTGATTCCTTACAGAATTGTGTTCACTGCCTGCGGAGGTTGGGCCGTGCAGGCGGGGCATTCGTAACTACTACTACAACCAGAAACGAGCCAGTGTGAGAGTTTCAATTACGGGGGTTGTCACGGGCAACATGAATAAGTTCCGCACTCAGGAAGAGTGCGACATCAAGTGTGGCACCTTGAGCAATGGTATGGGTCGGATCGAGTTACTTGAATAGTGAACTTACAAATTGGTATTCCATTCCCTATTGAAGTTTATCATGATTCTGTGAAAAACAAACAATCTGAAAACATCATGTTTATGACTCTCATTGGAAAGCGCATACACATTACTCAGTTTGTTTTTAGCTTCATTTTCTGAGTTTAATTCATAAATATTGTCTTTATAAATCTTGCATTATAAGGTAAATAAAATATTAGTCATAATCTTAGTCATAATTGTGAGAACCGTAAAGCCGGGCCTGGGTTGACCTGCGATTTGCTAACGCCAGTTCGGAACTGTCGCCATCAAGCACAAACGTCATGCTCACGTAAAAAAAACTGAGAAGTCATATATGTGATTATCGTGGGACAAGCGGCATCTCGACACAGGCTAATCACAACCATGCTCATGTCACCCAACGGGCGACGATGATTCACAATAAAATTAGATGATTCCGATACGCGCACGATGTCTTAACTCACACAGGTTGACTGCGATTCATTCCCACCCGTTGGGGTCACGTTCGTCATGGTGCAGTAGTTTTTTTACTCTTGCGACTGTAGGTTTTTTTGTTAACGCGACTGACGTTGATCGTCTTTGTATCATTGCAGTTTTACTCAGTTTGCCAAAATCGGCGACTGAAATGTTCCAAACGGTCGTAGCTCAGGTGCAGCTTTAAAAAGTCAGTCATCGGTCAAGCTGGTAGATTTCGGCCTATACAGTTTGTAATTGGCACATCTGTAATGAAAAATTGTTCGCATATAAGCAGCTTGCTATATTTAAAAAATTGCACAATTCATGTCTCTTGTGTTCAGATCCTGCACCCTACCACAAGACCCCGGCAACTGTTTGAAATCCATGTTCGCTGGTTTTACAACATCCGCACCCAGCAGTGCGAGCAGTTCAACTACACTGGTTGCCTTGGGAACCCCAACCGATTTGAGGATCTTGCCATCTGCGAGGAACGGTGTGCTGTGATTGACAGGGTGCCAGACGAGAGAGAAAACCGTGGGAGTCATTGTTGGTAATGCTTTGTTATTGTGTCCTGTCAACACTTTTATGAATCGGTCAGTTAGAACCAAACAGCGCACAAAAAATATGTCTTATGGGCATTCGGTCTTAAATTTGTACTATGTTTCAGTTTGGTCACACATAGCATCAGAGAAAAATTCATCCTGTAAATTATGGTGTTTTTTTTCTTATTGTAAGGGCTTACTACACTTAAGCAATTTATAGCTGTTACTGCACTGTTCATAAGATGGAATTTGCAATGGGGTGATGTAAATTCAAAATTAGGTTTTGCCCTTCACTGATAACTGGGTGTGTTATTCCCTGAGTGAAAGTGA